AGTTTTCGTGTTAAAATAAATTTTATGTCATTATTACCCCTGCTTGCAGCTGTTATGTATGGATTATGGTTATTGATCAATGTATTGGTACGTTGTACAGCTATGATACCTTGTTCTGGGAGAATTATTCCCAGTGGATTTACCAATGCTCTAGGAAAGTCAAAACGGCAAGTTTTGTTTAAACCACGGTTATATTTTTTACATGTTTTGTTGCAATGGTGATAGAGAGTGCGTTTTGCAATTGCAAGCAGATCCAGGCGTAGATTTTCTTCAAAGTCTGGTAATTCCGGATCTGGAATTGGTTTGAATGAGGGATGCATTCTTTTTTCTATTAAAGTTTTTGGTCTCATGTATTCAGTTTCTAGCATTTCATCTGTTATAGCTTCATTTTTTGTAAGATAGCTTATGCCTTCTCGTACTATGTCACTAATAAAATTCAATAAGCGTTGTGAAAATTCACTATCACTTTTAAGTTTTTCACGCAGGGTAATCGGGTCTAGTATACCACAAAGCCAAATTATCATATGGCAATGGGGTGTACCACGATCTTGATACTCTACAACTCCATAATAATTTTTTATCATTCCAAATACGCCTCCATTTTTTCTGTTGTAACCTATTATTGTGGATATAATTGTTTGTATAATAACATTAAAATATTTTGCTACAGCTGAAGGATCAAGGTGTGCAAGTCGGGCCCTTTCATTAGCTTTTGGAAAATTTTCTGGTAAAAGCTTATCAGGATCTATTTCATTTCCAGCATACATCATCACAATGGGACTATGAAGATCAGCTGGATTAATTGTTATGAATTTAGAAGATGCACCATCTCGTATAATTGTTGCACGTATTTCGTTACGCATTCTAAAACGTGATTGGTATGATGCCATCAATTTAGATCCTGCGGAATTAATATTTTTAAGTAATTCAAGTATATTTGGATTAGTTATAGGTTCTTTTTTTTGTATCTGTTCAACTGCCAATTTTGTCATTTGGTTTGAGTGTGTTTATTAAGTTAGCTGATTTTTCAAAGTTACTATTTTTTGTTAAATTATATGATTCTGATGATACTTCACGCCTTTGTAAGATATTAAAGGTGACAAATGGGAATGATCTGTGTTGACTAAATTTAGGCACATCAAATGATTTATATATTCTTTAAAAGAAATATGTTGTGAATGACCTATGTGACCTCCTACACCAAATGGATAAAGAGTGGGGAAGGCGGCAGGAAGAAGTTTTGGATCTTCATATTCATTTATTGGTGTATTTCCATGAGATACACAAATTAATTTCGTTTGAGTTGTTTTAGATGTAGTATTTGAAGCATTATCTAGTGGTTTATTCTTGTACTGTAAATTTGACTTTTCTATAAGTTTTTGTAAAGAACTTAAAGTAAGTTCTTCTTCCGTTACTGGAATATCATTTACATGTAGTATACCTGATGTTCTAAAGTTATATGAATTGCCTATAGTATTATTTTTGATAAATTGATCTGTTTTATCTTTATTATTCAAAGTAATACAGTATTTTCAGTTTCATTTTCACTATTCGATTCATCATATTCCATTGGATATAACCAGTATAGTGTTCTATGTTTTGCATTTCAAGGTCAATAACAGTAGTTGTTAATAGTAAAGGTTCTGGAATTTCTCCTTCGGGTAAGTCGTTTAGGATTTTGCTGTCAATTTCTATATATTATTTAAATAGCTTGTTATGGCTGAAAAGCCATTGAAGTGCATTTGTCACTTTACTTTTTCGTATCTGAAGGATTTTTTTTAGATAATCTTTGGAAGGAGTTTTTTTTCCAATAAAAACTACTTTCAAGTGATCGCAAAGTTTAAACAGTGGTAGAGGTAATATCTTCGCTATTGAGCTTGGATTTTGCGGTGGTGGTGTTATATTTTTTTCTAGATATCTGTAACAAACATTGCATACTCGTAATGAAAGTGTGCTATTTTTATTTTGGTGATCAGAAGTATCTATAAATCCTGCTCGATCAAGTAATATTTTTAAATTGGTGTTGTCAATATACGGTTCATTATAATGGAAGTTAATTTCAAAGAATGGAGCGGTAAGTTCATTCGGTACTTTAAGCAAATTTAAATTTATGTCTTTTATAGAGACTTTTTTATAATTTTTCCGGTCATTTAGTTTTGAACAGATAGCACATGGTAACTCTCGTAATTCATTTAAATTGGTATTATTGCGAAATTCCTTTAAAGTTTCATTTGATAGTTTTGGATTAATTAGTTGTGGCCAATTTGCGTATTCTTGGATTTTTTGTTCAAACTCTTCATTGATTTCTAATATGTGCCAGGGCAAACCAGCACATTTTGCCCGATTATCTCTAGCAATGTGGGCTGTAGTTTTTTTTTTGTTTTCTTAAGTTTTTTTGATATTCACGGTTTTTTCTTCTTCTAGTTTCTCCTCGGGTTTCAGTGAAGTTTATTGGAGGTTTTATAGAATGCATGTATTTTTTTGATATATAAAGTTTGTAAAATTTAATTTTCATTATGTTCTATTTATATGTTATTTATTGTATTATTTATTATATAAAGTAGTCATCAGATTTGTATTCGGTTTTAAATTAATGTATAGTTTTTTCATTGATTCTTTATGGACGTATCATGTGATTTTTTCTCATCATAAGCTGTTAGATTATTTCAGCATTTTTGTTTTAATGAATGTTAATGTTTTTGATTTTCTTTTTGTTCTTATGATTCATTTTTTCATTCTTATGTTTATTTTTGTTGCGTTTATATTACGTTATTCTTGGCAATTTTTTTTTTTTTTTAACTCTATATAAAATTTAACTTTTAATTAATTCTGTATTAATTATCCGTATGTATACTGTTTTGTCATTATCGTTATGCATGATTTGTATTATTTTAGGATATTTATTTACAATTTATTTGAGATTTTCCTTAGATGCAAGTACGATTTTAATATTAAGTTATAATCGGTGATGTGCAATGCATATGATTTTTTAATAGAAGTATGATTTAATTTTGGGGAATAATCATGATTTTAATATATGTAATTAGTAATAAGTATATTTTGATTTTAAGTTATTAATCTAAATTCAAAGAGTATTATCTAACATTATTATAATGTAATTATTATTAATCAAATTCGTGTAATTATGTGTCATAACATCCTATTAGAATTACGTTATGGTATTATTGCATCAGTTATATTAACATACTACCTAAATTAAGTTGTAATGTTTTTTAGAATTTATGTGAATAATTATTTTGTAAATGTCAACATTGTTGTAGGCTTTATTTTTTGAAAGTTTAATTTATATGCGCTGAGGGAGTTTGTATTGTTATATTTGATGATGCGTAATGCATATGATTTTTTTAATATAAGTATGATCTAATTTCAGGAAATAATCATGATTTCAATATATGTAATCAGTGATGCGCAATGAGTATGATTTTTTATTACGTAAGTGTGATCTAATTTCAGGTTATTAATCTATGTTCAAAGAGTATTATCTAACATATTATAATGTTATTATTATCAATTAAATTTGTGTCGATTGTATGTCATAGCAGATTTTTTTTTTTTTATTAAGTAAGTGTGATTTAATTTCAGGTTATTAACTATGTTCAAAGAGTATTATCTAACACTATTGTAATGTTATTATTATTAATCAAATTTGTGTCAATTGTATGTCATAACAGATTTTTTTTTTTTTTTTTTTATTACGTAAGTGTGATTTAATTTTAGGTTATTAATCTATGTTCAAAGAGTATTATCTGACACTATTATAATGTCATTATTATTAATCTAATTTGTGTTGATTGTATGTCATAACCTGCTATCAAAATTACGTTATTGTATTATTGCATCAGTTATTCGTCATAACATATTACTCAAATTAAGATAATGTTTTTAAAATTTATGTGAATTAATTATTTTATAACTAAAAATGTTTTTGTAGGCTTTATTTATTTTTTAGAAGTTTAATTTATGTTCGTTAAGGAAGGTTGTTTTGTCATGTATATAACCATTTTACTATTATGTATGTCCGTATTATTTTAAGGTTAATTTTTATGAGAGATAATTATAGTTATTATTGGATTTTTTTTTTTTTTTTTTTTTAGATTGTTAATTATATGCGAGTTTATTAATTTTTTCTACTATTTTACTACTAGAGTACTATAAAATTGCAAGTACGTATTCTGTTATTCGATTAATTAGTGGAACCAATTAGAAATGGTGAAAATATTAGTAAATTCATTTAATGCATATTAGTAAATTCATTAAATGCATAGCGATAGTATGATCATATTAAGTCATATTGATGATGTACGTGTGATTTAATTTCAGGAGATAATCTTGATTACATCATAATGGCATGAGATAATTATTCTTTAAAATCTTGTTAACGCATATATGATTTAAATTTTAGGGTAATTTTGTAATATTATTAATATAAATTAGTTTCAAGGGAATAATCATCGCTATTATATCATAGTATGGTATTTCATTGTAGTCATATGATTGTCTAATGGGTGATTTTATTTCAAAGTGAATTTTTCGCTAATATAGTTTAATCAATTTAATAACAAGTATTAATTTATATATATATAGCTTTTTAAATAACAATAAAAGTTTATAAATATTCATTAAACATTTGTTTTTTTATCGATTATGAGCATAATTATTAGTTCGTCATGGTAATCATGACTTGTTAGATTTTTAGAAGTAAACTTTAACTATTATTAATAATGAGATTTTATTTATCGTTTATAATATTTAGTCAAAGTTTATTTATGTTGAAGATTTATTTTTTTTTTATATTTGTACAGTATCGGTATTATCGTTATTTAATTTATTGTTCTTTGATACAATTCGTTTGCTAAGAAAAAAATATGAATGTTCGTTTTATTTATATTTATATATATTTGTATACATTAATTTCTTAGTTACAAATATTTTACAATATAAAAGTTTAATCTTTTATAAATTTCGCTAAATTTATATATTTATTTTTTTTCATTTATATTTTTAATTATTTCAGCTCGACTTCTCGTATTATGTACTACAGGTTGTGCCATCTTTTCTTTACCTTTGTCTACCTTTCCTCGATTATGCATGGAGTATTTGCTTTCTCCAACAATATCGATATCATCATCGTATTCATTACTTTCATTTGTATATTTTTTACTACATTCGGCACTTTGTTCATAAAGATCGTCATCATCTTCCGCATCTTCCACTCTCGTGTGTTTTGAGATGTTAAGATTATCGGTAGTTAAATCAATTGTATGTTTATTTGTTTTAGTTGAAGTTTCTTCAGTCGATTTTTCATTAGCATTTTGATGCACATTTAAGAGTTTTGTTCGAACAGTTCTGTATATCTCCGTTGTAGTTTGAGAATTATTTAAACTAGAAATTTTTCTTTTAGCTGTAAAATTGATATCAATAAGGAAGATATCGGCAGCGTAAACATATAGTTCCTAATCTATAATTTCTACGTGTCCCACGATGAAAGGTACCGTTTCATTCGGATGAACAGAATTCATTAAGTGTTTAAATCGGTTGTTATTGTACGGAAATACTATCTTAACAATAAAATTATAATGCTGGACAGCATAATCATTCACCAATATTTTGAATACCGCATACTCATCATCAACTTCTTTTGGTATATCTTGCACGACACCAACTAATGAAGTTTTCAATGGGCATCTGTTTGAGCCAAGATCCCTTCTGATCGTTAAATGCGTCGAAGAAGTAGCTGTCATCTAAACATATCAAATTTTAATATTATAATTATCATAATATTTTATTTAAATACATCTGTACCTACTTTCAGTCTTAATTCGTTATTGTGAGTTCCAGGTACGACTTTTCCACTCACACTATAATACTCATTTTTCACGAAAACTGATTGAGTATTAGGATCTCTTTCCTCTTCATTTATCGGGACAAAAAGAACAATTTCCATCTCTCGATCTTCACTCTCAATCGGATATATACCAATAGCCCATACAATGGTTAATTTCGTCTCTTCCTTGTCTGTCTGGCGAACTTGATTTATTTTCACGATCGTATCAACACAGCAAGGCATTATAAAGTGTAATAAAGTGTAATCTGTTAATAGTACGAAAAAATCTTTTAGGTCTTTTTATTTATTTTTTTTACAATAGTAATATATTACATTAGATGTATTTATCATTAAACTACATTCATATAAGTCTATGATAACGCATTCAATCACTTATTCGTAATACATTCATATAAGTAATGATAACGCATTCAATCACTTATTCGTAATAAAGCGCATACACACGTTTTTCTTTATTATTGACATTAAATGTCATCATTCATAATACAACGTATTATTTATTCATAATGAAACGTATACACAAGTTTTTTATTATTATTGACGTCAAATCTCTTGTAAAATCTAAATTTTATTTATTTTTTAACTAATTTATTGTACGTTCATATTTTCATAATTATTACATATACTCAGAGAACACATCGATTTCCCACATTTACGTCATTTCTTGTATATTCATTCATACTCACAACCCATTTTAAAAAATTAATACAAAATTATATAATTACGAATATGATATCAAATGTATGATCTAATAAATTGTAATTAAAACGAACCTTAACTATAATTATTAAGTTTTTTATTTTTTTTTTTTTAGCATCCCTTTTTACGAACACCGTGAGGTGTAATCTTAATTGTTTTATACATACGGGAATTTTAATACCTAATCGTCATTATTATCGTAACTTCAATCGATTTACACATACAGGAGCTCTATTCCAACTTATCGTCGTCATCATGACATATGAACTAGCTCACTATTTTATTTCAGGTTTACCATCAAATTCTGAATTTTTACATCACAAAAAAAACTACTAAAGTTAAGCGCGCAAAAGTATCATGCTTTGTGTTTCATCGCACAATCCAATTAGCTTTAAGATTCATCTCCCAATCAGCTTTGAGATTTTGCCTTCGTTTTAGATGCCAGTAAAACCATACACTAACGTTCCTGGTATAAAGAGTATAATCTTATATTGCTTATTTGTAAGCTTTTTTTAAATATATTTAAAGATGTAATTTTTGCTGCTCTT